ATTTGGACTGCCAGGCCGATTTGAAGAGGAGCTATCAGGACCCTGGGCCGAGCGGCTTGAATAATGGCTTGCCCTATGGAAGCAATCTTTCGCTCTGCACTCTTTTCGTTAAATATTGTTCTCAGAAACAAATACAACGTTTCAGGTAGAAAAGCGCAGTTTTCATCCAAAGACGAAATCTCTCCAGGTAATGGATAAAAACTTTTAGAGATGTCCTTACTTTTGATGTCCGTTTTTATGAGATCAGCAGCTGCCTTAATCACTCTGATTTTATCGGCTTCAGGGTCAGCATCTCTAGAAGCGTCATAAAAATTTTGCAAGATGGTCGAAGCTGTACTCCTAAATGTTACGACATCAGCCTTACCATTGATACTAGCAATAACGATGTTTTCTCCAAAATGCTCTTTAAGTTTTTCTTTCATATACCGTCCGCTGTAAGGTTCTTGGTCGTTGAATTCTGCCATCTTATTCATAAGATCGTTCACAGTTATCTGCTCGTCATCGTTTTCCTTAAGATATTTTGCAACCTCCAAGAATGCCTCTTGCCTAGACTTATCAGTTGGCCTGCCTTTCTTTTGTCGTTTGCTTCCGTTAGTTTGATGAGAAAGCGGTACTTGCTTCCCCGTCCGAAAATTGGTACTGCAAACTTGGTGATAAATTGCACCTGCTGCAATGAGATCTTGGGAAAAGATATTCTGCCATGCACTTTCTCAGCCCAACCGTCTCTTCGCTCCTCACAAATTCGGTTTAATGTGGTTTGAAAATCTAATGTTCTAACAGGAAAAACATCATGTCCTCTTTTGTTTCCCGTAAGTTTAGCAGGCTGGCTGCAAAATAAACATCGTTCACCAAAATCAAATGTTGGTTCACTGGAACGCAGGGTACGACTTGCACTAGAGGATGTTTCTTCATCAGCCGTATGTTTCTTTATGTAGGAACGAATAACCTTTACATGACAGTATTTCTGCCTGCATTTTTGACGTACACGCTGTCCTGCAAAAGTTTGGAGTGTGTCGCCACGTAGTTTACTTGCATTGTTGATGCCATCGCTTCCTTTTTGCCTAAGTTCCACTGTTTCGAGGCCATTGGTTGATAATTCCTTGCAAATTACACAATACTCCATCGTGTGATGTTAACCGGACGATAAACCACATCTTTAACCATCTATACTTTACCTTCACACGACATTTTTCACAAAAGTACCACTCTGGACGTCCAACAATGCGTTTCTACCAATACTCGTCTAAATAAATGTCTTGTGAAGCGAAGAACTTTGTTAGTTTGAAGGCCAGAGAATCGTCCAGAGCAGTTGTACGGAGCAAGAATTTTCCAAACCAAACAATCGAGAGTCTTTAGAGTCACTGATACACATATATACTTATTGATAGAGAACTAATTCAAGGAAAACTGTTGTTTTCCAGTTCTCGAAATAAAATTTCTTCGATGTGATCAAAAAGTTGTTGAAATCTTTACATTTAAACACGTGCACGCATTTTGTTTTCCAATTACGCCTATTGTTTTTAGCTGTTTGCTGTAAAAATTTACGCATATATTTTGAATAAATTGCGCGGCAGCCATTTTGAATTTAGAAAAAGAATTCAATCATAAAACTGTAATTTCATCATTTTATCCTTCGAAACGTTTGGTAGACTTTTGACATGTTATTTATAGGCATCAGTAGAATAACTTCCGGCAAAAATAAATTCTGTTGCAATTACTTCAAGGTTCGGTCTTTTTTTCTCGTAGAATGACTAGACTATAAATCCTGGCGACGAATCTGGTGGCGTGTAAACCAGCCTTTTAAACATACTTTTTTTCAACACGTCTCGGGTAAACAGTACTATGAGGCCCTTTTTTTATCATACAGACCTCGGACAGAATTTGTTCTTTTTTTGCCCTATAATTCTGCAGTTTTTCACAATTTTGCAAGACAATTTGCACTCATTCAATATCCACGACGTCAAAGCACGCGCTTCCTTTGCACAAAAAATTATAGCATTGAATTATAAAACATTTTCATGAAAAGAATTCCATAATGCGGGACTTTTCCGTTAGAAAAATCTGGTCCTATGTGATATGCAGTGTAATAATTATGGGCTTTTAGTGAAAACGATAAAAAAAAATTCCCAAAATCACCTTTTCGGTCAGCCGGACGGGTTCTCACTTTTGACAGGCAAATTTGCAGTGCGATTAATAGAGTTACCATTTACGCTTCAACATGACAGAGAAATTGTTATGTTTAGATTTTATTTCCCTTTATTTATTAAACTGTGTATGGTTTTGTTATGTGTAATCTTTAGAAGCGAGTGATATTTACGCGAGGCGTTTTGAGTATTCCTGCAGGCGATGTTTATGTTCGACTGGAACAAACGGTGCAGCGGTAAAAATTGCGGGAGGGACTACTAACAATCAATAAAATAAATATAATTCGGTGAAACTCGTACAGAGACAATAATTTTCATTCACGAAGAGAAGTATTGAGAGTAAAGTGTCTCTGAAA